GCTTGTGTATAAGGTAAGCTTGTAAATTGGTTATATAAGGCATTGAAAGGCATAAACTTTAATTTTAAGAATGCATTTAAATGAATTCATGATTTAGGGTTATGTATAGGTGTGGTTATGCAAACAATGATATGCATGAATAGGTATAATCTCAAGCAAAAAAGAATGACAACAGTAACTTTAACATATGCTGTTAATTAGGATATTCAAAAATGAAACCTGAAATGCATAGCTGAATACATGCATTGATTGTAAAACATAAGAGCATATAATTGAAGGATTTGCTGGGTTCATGCATTTGTCAAGCATACAAAAGAGAAATTGTTTGTAAGTCTAAATAAAAGTGCATGCAAGGCATACACACTAAGCTGTTCATATCAGCTGCAGCAACAAAAGTAAGTCTAAAATGCTAATCAGAAGAACAAATGTTTTGTAAACTATTAGAGGAAACCAACATGTTAATACTAATCAATAAGGTCTCAAACAAGAACACAACTCAAAATGATAAGCAAAGCTTATCGGGAACGAAGTGTTCAGAGGCGAGCCCTTAGATCAACAGATTAGGTATTCAGGAGCGGGAAACTGACTAGACCACCCACCTCAGCACCCCTTCCCTGCCCAGTGACTGTGCTGGATGCAGTATGATGTGCATTGGTGTGTTTTTCAGAGCTGCAGCAAGGTGATCAAAGTCACCCCAATCACCCTGAGAGAAACAGAAGATGGTATTATGACTAGGATGTAAATAAGTAGGTGATTTTACTGAATAAGCTATCATTGTGATTGAATAAGTACCTTAATTTTCCTCTCAAAAATCTCTAGTGTAGTCAAGTTGAGGATTTGTTCACAAATAGGACCAAAGGCAGTAAGACGAAATGTGCCGGTATCATCCGCCGCATCAAAGGTGAAGTTGACTCTGCATTGTATTGGTGTTAGTGTATTTTAATTAAGGGGAGTATTTGGTTGCACAATTAAGAATGCTGAAATATAAAATGTACCTTTCAGTGGAAGTGCTTTTTTTGTCCGGGCAATGTGGGCAGAAAAATGGAACATTTGCAGCAACACCACAACGCTTACCACAACAATCACAACCAATATAAGCAATGATGTTGCTCAACTGTGCATATGGAATTGTGACTGTCAGTGTGTAAACTTCTTCTTGGACAGTGTTGTTGACCGGAAAAAAGTAGTGTGAGTTAACAAGTTCAGTTTTGGTAGGAAAGGGCCATGGAATAGTTGATAGAAGAGCTCACAGTTTTGCTGATGATTTGATCAAGTGTTGTAGGAATTGGTTCAGCACCAACATTCATGAATTCAAGTTGCCTTGCCATGTAGTCAGCAATGACATCTGGATGTGCATGGGCCCTATTGACATGAAAAAAGACAGGAAGAAGTGCATTGAATTAAGGGAGGTTAAATATCATTTTACATAATTACAATGTAATTTGAATAATGATCATGAATACTAAGGCTGTTTATTTACCAAGAGTAGGGGCTGGGTCTATTGTTGTAGACATGCTTGACTGAAGTGAGAAGCCTGTTAAGAACGCATTAGTATACTTGATTTGGCAGCACATTTAAAGTAATAGATTGTTGGAAATTTGTGTAACCTCTATGAGTTGCAGGCTTCAGAGAAGTTAAGCTTAAAACCAAGGGGTTGGATGCCCAATCTTTGATAGCTTCACAGTCTGAGGTTGCAAGCTGACCCCATGCAGAGATGATCATCGGTCTAGTACCGGTGCTGCAAAGGCAAGAAACAGTGAATCATTACCCAAATGTAGTTATATTGCTGTGAGTGATGTTGGTATGTTAACAAAGTGGTTACCTTTCATCAACTATGCTGATATCGCGCACATCAGCAACTCTGCCTGACTTATATATTACTTGCCTCACATCTTCCATGTGGACCACGACACCAAGCAAATCTAGCAAATAACAAGCAATGGAGCTCATTATGCTTGAGAAATGATATGTTTTGAGGTAGGAATATGTAAGAAGACAATAGAAGTAGCTCACCAAATCGGTCTTCTGGACTACTGGTTTTAGGAACATCAGCAATAGGAATGTATTCAGGTAAAACAGGTCCCTCAGTTCGATCGACAGCTTGGATCTTTGTCATGCCTCCAATGGTTAGCTCACATTCTCCTGGAAATGAACTGAATTTTGGGTTCACTATTCTGATTGGAGCATTTGCAATTTCATATTTTTTTCTTGTGTTCAAAGACTTTTTTGAAGTGATCACATTCATCTCCGAATAGAGTAGCTTTCATGTTGTTACCCTGTAATGTAAGGGGAAAATAATCATGTTAAGTAACATTTAGCAAAAAATATGGATAATGGAATTGTACATTTTTGGATAATACCTCATCGTCTTCAAAGACCAATTTTTGGAACTTTTTCTTGTTAGGGGGAGATCGGATTGGGGACTTTTCTTTCACAGTAACTCGAACTTTGTGTGCTTTGCTTACAGGTGAAAGCTTATGCAAAGGTGTGTATTCAGGCTTCATCTGTGGAACATGAATTTTTAATAGAAGTGCTACATGTACTCTAATTATATATATTTTTTCGGTTACACTTTATGAATAAATATTTAAAACAAGTACAAACAACTTAGATGATGTGGGTTGTATATCATAACTTTCTGTCATCAGTATTCACTGCTAAGGCACATGAGAGAATCTAGCTATGAATAAAGAAGTATTTTAGGGCTTGCTTTTAACTTGCAGGTAATAAGGAGCCACTCAGTCATATATAAAAGGAAGGTAGGTGTTCACAAATTCACAAGTTCTTTTCTTTATTTTCTCATTCACTATTGTATCCTAGCATTTTAAAAACAACATAGTAAGCAACAATGGGCAACAAAGGCAATGGTAAGATGAAAAGTATCAAGCAGCCAAACCCAGGATCTGTGGAGGAAAGGCTTGCTGTTCTTGAGAAAAAGGTGGAGGACCTATAGGCAGTGGTGGAGGCACTTTGCTTTGAGCCAGAAGACAAACAACCCAGCCCAAAGATAGAGGCACCAAAAGGAGCAACCAGCAGACTTCCTCCTAATTATGGTTTTGATGACATCCATCACCATTCAAGCCCTTCATATTCACCTGAGAGTGATGCTTCTTATGGTGGTTGTTTCTAAGAGGACTACCAATTCAGATCTACAATTGTTTCAGGTTTTTGAGGTTACTGTTGTTGATCTATAAGTAATAGGAGCCTATTATTGCTAGCTATTATGTATTATTAGTTATCAGTTGTGTTTTCAAAGTAGTAGTACTCATCTGTTGCTATGTAGTAATGTTGTATTATGTCTTATGTGTTTAGTATTGTATTAGTGTTATGTGGATCTAATTATTGCCTTTTCTTTTGGGAAGAATTACATATGCAAAACTAAGTTGTCATTGTATTTACATAAATTGTGTTGTTATGGTGGGATAAAAAAAAGTAGCCTTTCATGTGGACTTGAAAATAAAGAGAACTCTAACCATTATAAGCTAGTGTTGTGTAACTGAAATAAGTTCACACCTTTAATAGTAGTGACTGATACATAGCACTAATTAAGCAGTCCATGAAAATGTCATGAATTATTAGAATTCTACCAAGCAAGTTTTGTGTGAAAAGGAAACTGTAGCCTTAGCAAAACAAAGATCTAAACCTATGACTACAAAAAATGAACATCTTTCACAAGGCCTATAGATTTTAGATTAAAGATGTCAAAGTACTAACAGAAGTTAGGGTAAAGGGGTTTGATTGGTTTTCAATATAATGCATGATAGAAGGCCCTAAAAATTGACATTCAAACACTAAAACCATGTACTGCACATTACACAAATTCAGTATTTAATTGACCAAAAAGAACAATAAATTGCTTAAATAATCAGACTTACTTAGCATATAAGTGAAAATATGTTATTTTGCTAACATGGAATCTTAGTAGTCAAGCAAGTAAGCAGGAGATAATTTATTTAGTCAAATTTTGCTCACTAAACATAAAAGACAATATGCCACTGCTAAGGTAAAAGGAAATTAAGAAAAAAGAAAATCAGAGCTAGATTGTATAGGAGAAGCATTTATGAACGTACCTTATTGGAATGGATTTGTGAGCAATTATTGCTATCACACAGCAACAAAGAACCAAAGTGACAGAGAGTAAATTTCAGGAGTAAATGTTCTTTGTGAAATGTTAGGATCTTTAATAGTAGAGGAGTATTTTTTGACTTACCATCAGTTTCCTTGTAATATCCAATAGATTTTACTATGTGTTGAAGCATTTAGTTATCCATCAGATAAAAAGGGTATTAAGTTTAAAAATGGCTAGATTCTGCTGTCCAGTAATCATATTAGCTAAATGTCAAGTGATATAATAATTGTTAAAGCAATCTCAATTTATAGTATATTATCTAAAATAGCTAAGCTAAATTATTTTCATATTAAATCTTTTGTATAACTTTTAAAATAAGATGTAACATGGTATGGACCAGCAGTTAATTAGGTATATGTACTTAAAGTGATTGAGGGCATTTGTCTTCTGGGTAATAAAATGCAAGATTTTCTGCTGCAATGCAGCTGCAAAAGTGAAGGTTCAATCAACAAAAGCAAAAGTAGGATTTACTTCTTTATAAAATCAGAGTGAGATTTTTTTGCAATAAGGTTAGAAAATGTAGGATAGTACTATTTTTGTGTTACCAATTTCAAGCTATATAAAATAGCAGTTTAAATTGAATTGTGCATAAAATAAGTGCATGCAAAAGGTACATCATAGTATAAACATAGTAAATGGTAGAAAATAATCAGATTGTCAACAAAATTATAATTTCCACTTAATTCAAAAACTGTAACAAGGATTGTAAACAATTAACCTGGGTTTTTTCAAGTACAATGATATATAAAAGGGAAAGCATATGCATTTATAACATGTTTAAGACAATATTAGTTAAGATAGTAACAATTATTTATTGAAAAATGAGCTGGCAGATTTAGTAGATAGGAAGTAATACCTCCAAACAGATGCATCATATTATGCCAGATAATTGCAAAACATCATATGCTACTACGTTTTTCAGCACTTCTGATGTGTGGTGATCAGCAGGTTGTGGAGTGATTACAGTGACCTTAGTTGACTGCTTGGCCCTTGACAACGTAACATACAACTGCCCATGAGAAAAGCATGGCTGTGGTAGGTAAACTATCACTCGGCTTAATGTTTGCCCTTGAGATTTGTTAATGGTCATTGCAAAACTAAGCTTCAAAAGAAACTGTATCTGTTCAAACTGAATAGGATATTTTGCTGATGATGGAGGCCGGAGATTAACACGATGAACGAACATAAGTTCTCCTTGGCGATGACCAGTAGCTATAGAACAAACAATCACATTCCTTCTGAAAGACTTGCATATAAGACGTGTCCTATTGCACAGGCTATTTGCTGGATCAATGTTCCTGAGCAATATTACATGGCTGTTTATTTTTAGAACAAGTTCATGTGGAGTCATACCACCAGGGGCAAGCTGGTTTAGGAACTCTGTTGGGTAAATTGCACAGTTATCATCTAGCATGCTGTCAAAACTCTTGTAAGCAACAGAGTTCCCAAGGAATTTATTAATAAGAAATGTGTTTATGGAGTCAACTACATCATTTAATGGTGTGAGTATGGCTCTCTCTATGAAGATATCTTGTGATAAGGTTGCATGTTCTAACTCTGGGAATGTAGTAGTAGCAAGGTAATTGATAGGATCATCACCTTCTTGATAATAACTCACAATGTGAGCAGGAACTTGAACAAAATCATTTCCAGTACACTGCAGCTGGCCATTTCCCAAACGCAGTAGAAATGATGCATATGGGGGATCTTCTCAAGCTCTGATGTTTTCAGTCAAGTGTAATTTTTCTAGCCAAGGCCAAATATATAAGTTAACCAGGCTTGTTGCAATAGCCTCTCTTTGAGTTTTACGAGGAACAACCGACAACACCTGCCTAAAATCTCCTCCAAATACTACAACCTTCCCACCAAATCATTGTTCTGCGTCACAAAGATCACGAAGCAAAAGCTCAACTGATTTAATGTTTTCTTTTTTGGCCATTGAAGCTTCATCCCAAATAATCAGAGCTGTTTGTTTGATTAAAGCAGCTAAGCTGCCTTGTTTAGGAACGTCACAAGCAAAAGATGTTTCTGAATTCAGAGGAATCTTAAACCTTGAGTGCACTGTCCTACCAGAAGGTATGTTTGCTACAGCAATGCCCGATGTTGCTGTTGGAAGAACAATCTCCCCTGCCATGCGCACTTATGCATATAGAGCGTTGTATAAAAACGTTTTCCCAGTTCCGCCAGGACCATCCACAAAAAAGCAACCAGGCTTGCTTGATTGAACCTGAGCAATAATTCTGTCAAATGCAATTTGCTGAGCTGAGTTAAGTTTGTCTTAACAATCGATACACTCTTGAGGAATAGTTGCATCTAAAGCATCAACGATGTCTTTAGTTCCGTTGAGCTCTTCTGGCACCTCTTCATGTAAGTGGTCAAGCTGGAAATGAGCCAATGATTTCCCCATAGACTCTAAATGGCGTTCAACTGACTGTATGGTTAGCAACCTAACACGGGCTTCATTTTCAGGATAGACATGTCTATAATCATCAGATAGATCACCATAGAATTGTTGCCAAAGTCTATTGGGGTCGCTCGGGGTGCAGAAAACATAAACATCTGCAAATAGGCGGCGTAAGGCAACAGACAACTGAATTTCTGCTGCTTCAGCTAAACATGCGTGTACTACGTTGTCTTCCTCACATAAACCTCTTTTGATAGCTGCTTCTTGAAAAGTGGCACAAAGTACTCCATTAACAGTTCGAAGATCATCAAACGATTTAGGACTACGCACATTAATTAGCAGTAGTCTTAAGAAGAATCGCTCTCTTTCTGGTGGTGTAACACTTGCAAGCCGACCAACCACAAGTTTCTTATTTTGCCTTTGAAACCATGCTTTCTTACTGGCATCCCACCTGTTATACTCCATAAATTCACTGTAAAGGTATCTTGTACCTTGAGGAGTGGCTGCATTTGCCTTGAAAAATTCTGTCAGCTGAGTTCTAGATCTACGGTCATTTAGCACAGCAGAATCTAGCTGTTCATTAGCCCGTAACTGAACTGTTTGCATGTTTTCCAAATGCACTACCATTTGTTGCCAGGCGGGTGCATCTCTAATAGATCAAAAGAAAAATTCTCCAAGCTGCCTCATATGGGCGACACCCATCGACCTGAATGAAATCTTTCAATTTCATCTTCAGAATTTTTGTATCCTCCAACAACGTTGAAAGAAACTCTATCATGGCCTTTGTAAACATGCTTGTATAGATACTTCACGGATTTAATAGATGAGCATACTTCTACATTCAAATGGCAATCAAATAACATAGAAAGGTATGGATTGTATGGAATGACCCAGCGGTTATCAAGACTTGCACCACGAATTCGGACACTATCTCCTGCATCCCTTCTTTTGTACATGGGATATCCATCATCATGGCTTGTTGTTTCATGTATAAAATTCTTCGGATATCCATATTTACAAGACAGAGAACTATTGTGCTTTGTAGTCATACATGCACAATCAAGATTTGCTTCTCCACATGGCCCATGCATCATATGCCGGACCACAATTTTTCAAAGTTTTGGGGAGCTGTGGGGTGGTAATTCTGCAGAGACAAAACGATCAAAATCTGAAGGTGTTTTAATTTTGTAACTTGGTTGTAGGATGAGAAGGAAATGTGCATGAGGCAGACCCCTTTTTTGGAATTCAACTACATATATCATAGTTGCTACTTTTCCAAACATATGCTTCTTCATTATTTGCTGCTTCAAGCAAATCAGTTTAGATCGGAAAATACGAGCAACAAGCTCCGGTCGGTTTTGAGCTTGTTCACCAGGAGCTAGTTCTACTTTGATCTCTGGCCAGTTTGCATTGCAAGTCATTGTGACAAACAAATCAGGCTTGCCAAAGTGTTGTACTAAAGACATTGCGTTTAAATAGCGACGCTTCATGTCTCGTGGACCACCAATAAAAGTTGGTGGTAATATCACTCGGCGGCCTTTATTTATGGGATTTGTTTCACCATGCTCTATTGAGTCTAAAATTTCCTGATACAAATTAGCTCTGATTGCCTATTGATTGTGTCGGAATTAGTCTAGTCGAGTATTTTCAATTTTCACATACATATCAACTATGTACTGCTGAAAACACCGGCCTGCCTGAAGCAGCATGTTGTTTGGTTGTGACTACAAGCTTGTAAGCATAATATTCACGAGGTGAAATATGCCTAGCTGAAATACCACTTGCATCTGCTAAGATTGAAATCAGTGCGGTTGCAATGTATGTCAGTCAAAATATTCAACAAAGGTGAAAAGGTTATGATCAAAAGAAGCAAATCTGCCATTCAGTTTTGAAGCTTACGGTTTGCTTCCAGTTCAAGCTTATCTTCCTCTATGTGTATTGCAGAGGACACAGTAGGGTTTGCTTGTTCCTAAGATGCACAATATTTTTTTGACAAACCTTGACTCCAACCACAATCACCATAAGGAAATAAAAGAGGGTATTGCAGAGGATCATAACATCCGTATCTATGATATATACAATGAAAGTCCTGTGACCTTCCTTTTACAACAATGTATGGGCTGCTGGACTCGCTTGATGATGTATTGTCAGGCCAGATTACATCGACTTCATATGTTGTTGGAGCATTATAAACTTGTTGATCTTCAACACTGTTTTTGTTGATAAAAATTTGTGTGTCTTCATGGATGTCAAGGTCTTTCAAAGATCTGAAAAAGCGAGCGTAAGGATTATGCTCAGTTACTTCCATAAGTATGTCGATAATATGCTGTCTAATTTGTTTAAAGCAGTCTGTCCTAGCAGCTGCTTCAAACTGTCCATCATAAAAATAGAGTTGCAAATATTTAGGGCCTTCATCACCAGGGATTAAATCAGGCAAGTTATGGTAAATCTGACCATGCAATTTAAAGACATAAATTCCTTTTTTTGTGTCTGAATCATATTTGTCACCCAATGAGCTAAATGCAAATAAGTTATTATATAAACGGATATATTGTTTAAAGTGTAGTGCATCATCTTCATCAGATGTTAAAAGTCTATATAATGCAGGTTGATATTCATTAGTGACTAATTCAATAGATCCATTTCCACAACAGAAATGAAGTGATTCGTGCATGAATGTTTTTGCATTACAGTGCTCACAATGCTGAGGTGCTTTTAACTTCAAAGGGGTGGCAGGTAATTTTAGGCCAACCACAACAGCAGGGGGTTCTGCTATCCATCCATTGAACGCCGCAACATTTTATTAGTATGCTTCAATGCAAAAGAAAAGTCTAAGCAACTATGGCCAACAAAGCTTACTTGTCTTCTTAGCAGTAGGTTGTTTCATCACTCGCTTTTGAGAACCAACAGTAGTTGTTTCTGTGATATGAAAATTTCATAATTAAGCTTAAAAAAAATAGTTATAAATAACTAAGTAAACAGTATATCATTACACACAAATGGTGATTCATATGATAAGCTTCTTAGAGATAAGAAAATTATGTACTAAGCCAAGTTTCCTTTTTATGCTTCTATAAAGTGTATTTTGTAAGCTGGCATTAATTAGCACTCAATGTTTATATATAGTATTTATGTAGCAATCTTTTGTCTCATGGACAATGAGCATTGAATTGTTTTGTGTGTCACAGTAAGGTTTGTTTATTAAAATATTATATTGAGATAATTCATTGCAATGTCATTGTATGTTAAATTTTGCCTAGCCTTCTTCTTTTTTCCCCCTTCTAGCAAGATAGTTTACCTTTTAAAAAACAAGAAGCCTAAACAATATCAGAGTGAAAAGGGCATTGTGAACTGTAAATTTTTTTAAAAAATTTCATGGCCAACTACTGTTGTACATTAGCTTTACTTACTTTCACTAAGCTAGCTGTGTTGTAGCCTCACAATATCTAACCCTTTTTTTCTCCTTTTTTAACAGTTTTTACTCTCCTGTAGTTTTGTATTGAATATGGCAGGAAATGGGGATGAACTTTCAGCAGCTAGACTTCGAATTCTAGAGCTCAGGGAAGCTACTTTAAAGGGAAAATTATCTGCTACAATGGCCATTCATTCAGATGTAGGAAAGAGGATTACCAAGTTAAGGAGGAAATTAGATGACTTATCAAATGAGATTCTAGAAGTTAGGAACTCTGGTAAAGGGAATAGAGCTCGAAAAAATGTTGTAAGCCATGTTGATGAGTTTGTACCCGTGGTGCAGTTAGGGAAGGCCCAGATTTTGAATACAGAACTTGGGAATGATGTTGTGGTTGCTGTTAATGATGAAGGTGATGGGATAGCTAAGAAAAATATGGAAACTGACATTGTTGGCGACAAGGAAGTGGAGAGTGATGTAGTAATTGGCTACTGGTGGTGGGGATAATATATAGAAGAAGAGACTGATGGAATGATCATGTTAATGATTTGATTACGAAATTTGGTTGTAATGATCCTAATACTGCTAGGAAATAGTGTGGGTTGAATTTTACATTGTGGTTGTTAATTTGAAAACTATTGGAGATGTTGCTACTTTATAATCATATGAATATGTTTGAATTTTAGATCAAAGTGATCTCGTTATCATTCAGTAAAAATGATATGTAATTCTTATTTTAAACATGCATGCTTACTAATTTTCTTAGCTCGTGGTTTCTTCAATTTTTGGTTTCTTGTTCTGCCCTTCTCACTTGTTTCACCTATTTCCCTATATGTGCAACGGAAAAAAAATATAAGTAACAATTGTTTGTAACCATTAAATAGAGATTAATATGTATTTTCAAAACAGAAGGAAGCAGAAAAACCTTATACAAACAGGTTGTTCACACATAGAAGCAATTGCTCGCTTGCGCTTGCTAGTTCGTGTATGGTTAGTAGTCATCAAATACAACATGCACCGGTCTAAAAGTGACTTTCCAATAGCTTGATCATCAGCTTGTATATTGGTAACTTCAACTGCATAAATAAGAAAAATATGTGTTACTGTAACCAAAATACCATGCTGCTTAAATGTAGCACTAAAAATAGGCAGGATTCAAGACAACAAACAACAGGCAGGATTGTAAATTTATAGTTTTTCTAGTTTATTTTTTATACAAGATACATAAATCATGCTTACTAATATTTTTGCCAACTGATTCGCTGAGCAGTTGATTGTGTGCATTCCCTTTACTGATAAGACCTGGCTGAATGTTTATATG